TGCATACCTTTTCTTGTGTTCAAATCGCCATAGACCATGGGTAACTAGTCAGTGTTCAGAAAGGCTTAGACATTGTATCAATCTTTATTTCTGCAGACCTACAGATGGTTGTCAGGTTCTTCCCTAGGAATCCCATGGAACACATAACTGTTGCTGGAAGGACTAACAGTGTGGTAAAGTCAACACAGTTTAATGCTTCACATTTGGGTAGTACTACCATCTGCCATGGTCTTCTACCATCTGCTATACAGGGCTGAGATTATTCAGAAATCCATAACTACCAAAAGGCACCAGTACACCACCAGACCTATCTATGTGCCAAATTTGGTGAGGAAATATTGAACAGTTTTAAAGTTCTGCTCGAAAAAGAGCACTACTTCCAAAACCAAATAGAAGTCAAACTTGAGTCATGGAAATGCATGGAAAAAAATATTTTATTCAGAAATCTTAAACTATCAAAAGGCACCACCAGTACACACTAGACCTATATGTGAGACGTTTGGTGAAGTGATAGTGTCGGTTTTAAGTTCTGCCCTGGAAAGGAGCACCAACACCATTGCAGTGGGAAGTCAAATTTGTTGCCATGGAAGCATAAAAAAGATATTTTATTCAGAATTCCAAAACCACCAAAAGGCACCAGTACACCAGCAGACCTATCTATATGCCAAGTTTGGTGAAGAAATAGTAAACAATTTGTAAGTTCTGCTCTGGAAAAGAGCACCAACACCAATTTCAGTTGAGGTCAAACTTCTTGCCATGGAAATGGAAAAAAATTTTTATTCAGAAATTCCCAAGCTATCAAAAGGCACCACCAGACCATCAGATGTGTGAGAAGTTTGAGTGAAAAAATAGTGTATGATTTTTAAAGTTCTGCTCCAGGAAAGGAGCACCAACATGCATTGCAGACAAACTTGTTGCCATGCACAGGCGAAAACATATTTTATTTAATACCCAAAACTACCAAAGGTACCAGTACACCACCAGATGAATCCAATGAAGTTTGATGAAATAGTAAAGCTTTTTTAAGTTCTCGTTTAATGTGTATGGTACTGGACGGATGCCAGAATCTTAATGTCAGTGAACTGTGTCTGAGGGGATAACACACTGATAATGTCCTCTTGAAGTGATTTCCTTTGCAGCGTGTTTGTGACAGGATGAAATGTTTGTACATATTTAGAGTTTTTATTCTTTAGTTTTAACTAAATTAAATATTCACTTTGGTGTATCTTAAACAGCATATACTTCCTCTTCAGCTTTTCTAAACCCTCTCTCAGCTACTGCATGCTTTCTGCCTAAGCCACAATCACCTAGAGGACTTTCTAGCCTACTCAAGCTTATTGTCCCAATCGTGAAACCTTTTCTACTGTCAGCTGGTTCACAAAAGCACAAAAGCACTTGTGGATATTGGATAGTGCATATTTGGATTTTGACATTTATTTTGGAGCTCATGGGATCATTTCTGAAGGTTAGTCTCTTTCAATACTTTTGTAGTATGTAAATTCATGTGGTGTGTATAGATATTGTGTGTTTCACGCTTTGATAATTTGGCTGCTTTGTCATATTGTAAATATTGAGTAATTTATGATAACTAATTGTGCTGCAGAATGTTAATGCATTATCAGTGTATCGGTAATTATTTATGAAAGGTAAATAGTGTGTAAACGTATGTGTAAAATTTATGAATGTATGAATGTATAATGTGTGAAAGTATGAATGAAGCAAGGTTTTACCATTATATATATATTAAATGTTTCTCATTACTCAACAATAATTAGCCTGCACAGTGTGTATATATGTTTATTTTTATTCATGCAGATGTTTATTTATTCATGCAGGGGCTTTTAAAAGTTCAAAGCCCAACCAAGAAGCGACACAAATGTGGCTGCTTTTATTTTTCTACTTTCTACATATTATCTGTCAACCTTAAGCAAATTGACAGATATGTTCCAGCCTCATGATCACCATTTTTGTGACTTTTTATCTTGATACCCCTAAAAAAATGCAAAATAAGCAAAAGAAAGTCCACTAGAATCAAAGTTAGATATAGTAAAGTGCATAAATATGCAATTTGAAACTACAGTCGCTTGTTAAAGCGACTCACCCTTCATGTTTACTGAAAGAGCTTGTTTTGGAGACAATTACCCTCTTTCAGATGATGTAATCATAAGGATATCACTTATTCCAATGTTTTCACTTATTCATACATGATGCCAAGGGTTCAAACTAAATACTGAATGGTCACACAAGTGTCAGCTCTCAATATATTTTATACAGTGCCAGCTTGAACATTTGGACACAATGTTTTTGAAAGATCAAAATGGGGTTATCCTTATAAAAACAGCCCCGTCGAAATATAAATCAAGCAATCCAAACCTTTGAAGGTTAATTACTATACTAAACACATTTTATGTATTATCTGAGAACATACCATTATGCAAGAGGTACCAAATGACAGATCGTTCTTCATTTTCTGCAATTTTTAAAGAGTGAGTGAGTTAATATTTAACGTCACATCGGCAATATCTCAGCCATATCGTGATGATAAATTTTTAGAGAAATATTATACCCCAAGTCCCCAATGTGAATAATATCTCGTTAACAACATTACCCACATATTTTAAATTTTGTATATGGCTTTGCTGATGATTCCTTCAAAATAAAATGGAAGCTTTTCAAACATTGAGCATCGAGAATATATTTAGGCTGAATACATTTTGAACACCCCTCATAGCTGTATTATTGATCGTGCAGCTGTCAGTGTACCCAGGTCCACACACTTGGTGGGTTGTAGACATGGTAAGAAATGTATCATGCTGTTTGTTTCCCAATATGATATGATATGCATATGCATATGTATGTATGAGATAAAGTATATATGGAATATGCCATCATTATAATGTTGAGGAAATGTATACGAAATAGATTAGCAATTATAATATTTTGTAAATAATTAAAGATGATATTAAAGATTGATTTATCTATCAGCATAAATTTATGTTTTGTCTGAAGAATGTTTGAATTGTTTCAGGGTTTTAAATGAATTATCAGGAAATACAGGGCCATAATGCAAACATCACTGTGTCTGTTCACGTATTGAAACAGTTCTATTTTCATGTTACTTATTAGGAATTGCAGTAATAGTATGACTTAGATAGGTATCCATGATCAGTTCTTAGAAACTAAAGGGATTACTATGTGTCAGAACCCATATCATCCCTGGTGTGGTCTGGCAGACAATGACAGTGTGATAATGGCCTCCCAGATTGTAACACAGATTTCATTATGGCGTGATGATGTAAAGTGGGTAGTATTCTTACAATTATGAAGAATGGCAACTGTTGTTTTGATGTAAGTGAAAAGTGACAAACATACTTCATGAATGACCTTCACGGTGATCTTGATCATAAATGTATCTTGCTGACAACCTTCTAAATTTATGCCCTTTATTTCTGGTGTCCCTTGCTGTGATATTGCTGGAACCAGAGACCATTGCTAAAAGCAGCATAAAACCCAACTCACTCACTCACTATGCCCTTCATGAAGGAAGGCACATATTAGTTTCTTTAAAATACAGCAAATCCTTTTCAAATTTCATCTGCTATTATAATCTTGACACCACATTTCTTCAAAGGTAAGGGGGGAAAACCTTTAGAATCAATGTAGTCTTGAAATGTACTCAATTTCTAAATGGTTCATTGTCTATAGAAACTATGAGGATAACATCAGAACATGTTTGTGTGTACAGGCTTCATTAACATGGCCACCTATTAAAATTGTTGTATAATGGAAGAATTGATTGAAACATTCTCATGGTCAACATCACAGGGGGATTGATGACAATGCCAGCCAAGTTACACCATGTCACAAACTGTATCATCAGCTTGACATGAAATATGGAGGCCTAGTCTGCATACACAATTTTGAGTTCCATATACATAAAACTGTACAGGTAATCTGTTTCAAAGGAATTTAGGAGAATGTTGTGTGAAGGTTATACATGAGAAATGTTTAATTATTGTTTTCTTTATGATCATGGCCAATTGGATGTGGTGCCATCTTTGCCAATCTGGTTCCATTGATGCTAAACATCTTCTTTTGTGAAGATTTCATGTTGTGACAGACTAATTGTGGATGATGCCATTTCCTAAATATATGTACCCAAGTACACACACATCTCAGTAGTCATAGAAGAACAAGAACAAACAAGTTGTAGGCTTTATTTAAGCATGTCAAGCAATCCTCACCTAAAGAACACAATCAAAATGTTATTTAAGCATGTCAATCATTATTTTTGTTCATAGGAGGACAAAGTCTTGAATACGATGATTAAAGAAAAACAATTTAACCAACACCTACAAAAGCAGATAAGCAAACAAAATATTAAGCAATAAACAAATTTTTAACCTACACATGACCAAATGAAGAAACTTCCAACAACCTTAATTATTGCATTAACTGGTACCATATAATAAAATCTTTGTTAAATGAAGCTTTTTTACTCAGAAACTTCAGTTCGGCACAAAAAATTTAGGCATGAATTGAGGAAATGAAATGAGGAAAATTCCTATGCTGCTTAACAGTCATACCATGAATAGAAAAGAGGTGTACAAGTACAAGCAAATGTAATTCTAAGCTATTATTACATTTATTCAATAATCATATTCCAAATATGATTCTTTTCACATTAAATCATCTGTTGAGGAGAAAGGGTTAAACTGAGATGTCAAACTCATCTGCAAAATCAAATAAACTGATTAAAATAAAACTGAAATATTACATGAACACAAATAAGATTCATCACAAAAATTCACAGGTCAAATGAAACCTGATCTTTTAAAACTAGAAATTGATGTTATATATATATATACTTCACCTATTTACAAACTTCCTGTTCCTTTACATTTCAACAGGTGCAGAACAGTTCATGAATAAGTCATGTTAACTACTGTAGTAGTTTGTGTTGTGTACCCTGCTATGTGATGAAGATCTTGATTTTTTTAGTTTGCACAGTATCTGACCAATCCAGGATGCAAGAATGCATTTGTGATATGACTTATGTCACGATCATCTATGTACATATCATTGGGCCCGTTTTGGGCTGTTAAAGTGCTATCACACTGAATTAAAAATACTTTTTACAAAATCTTATATACATATCATACATGACATAAACAACTAAAAGACTACTCTCAAATGTTTCATTGGTTCATGTTTCTACTTACCAAACATAAACAACAATACATCCATATACTGTTTATTCACCATAATGATGAATAAGCTATGCAGAACAAAACATTTTGAATGCATAACAATAAATGAAGACAGAGGGCAGATGTTAACATCTGCCATACAAAATAAAATATTCAAACTGTCAGCTACGAAACAACATACATGTAACTGTGAATCAAACAAAAGCATTATTTAAAAAAATGGCATGAATGACAATTTGTGTGTGAGAGAACTGAACACATACAATTAATGTTATCCGTTACCCTGAACTGTTCTTTATCAGGACAGATCACATCATTAATCATTTTGTGTATGTGCAGCCAACTATCCAAAATTATTGGCAATAATACATGAAACAAGAATGATTGGCACATAAATGATAATTTTACAATAACTATTGAAAATTCTCTATTCTGATTGGTCAGTCATAGTTTCTTATCTCTCAGTCAGTGTTAGAATTTGAATTAATGCTATATACAAGAAAACATACATGGAAATAGCTTGGATTCGAAAGTCAATTTAGTGACTTCAGTCTCCAGGTAACATATAACATTGAAAATGCAAGATATGTTGTAACGACATGTACTATCAAGAATGGACACAAGATATAAGAAACTCAAACTTACTGCATATGTATACTGCCTTTAAATCTGATATTGTTCCGGAATTGTATTTGATCGCACTCTCTTCGTTACATCTGCGCAGAGTCTTAACAAAATTCAGATGCGGCTCCACCAATTTAAAAATAGTTTCGTACAGAAGATCTAAAGACAATGACATTGTTGCTATGTGCGATTATTGTAAAAATGTACCAGAAGATGAGTATCATGTGTTAATGAAATGTCCTTTATATGCAGCGGTAAGAACTCACTACATACCAAGTATCTATATTATGAACCCAAATAAACAAAAATTTGTACATCTTCTAAATACTAAGAACCATAATATAATACTCCGTCTAGCAATTTTTGTAAACAAAATCATGTCCATGCGCTCTGTAAAAATTTAATCTCAGTTGTCATTTTGGACTATTGGCCTCATGGCCACATCTATGATATAAACCTGTCTGTCTGTCTGTGATATGTATCTCCAATCACATCACATGAATAACCCTTTATCCTCAACGTGACACAAGAAATTGCATTAAGATTGTAACTGTGTAACTGATAAATATTGTACTATGTACTAAACTGAACAATCAATGAATGATATGAATGAATGTTGTCTCAAATGATCAAGTATCATCCATTTCTATGTTGAAGATATATTTCAAAGCCAATCAAATCATTCTTTAAAATTTAACACTCATGATTTTCAAGCCAACCACCAGCTTTGTTGCAAAGACACTGTTCAGGTAAATGTTCTGCTAAAATGAATATTAAACAAACAGTTAATTTGCAAACATCCATCAACAATCCATGTAGAAATTGAAAACTGCATACAAAGGCAAAATATTGCAAATCAGATTGTTGCTGATCAAATCCTGATTACTGGTGCAGGTACAACATCAAACATCAATAACAACTAATTCTATGTATGATCCTTACAACAAGCATAATAACATTATCTGTATTAAAAATCCCTGCATGCTCATATAGAGAAATGTGCTGCAACATTTATCACTATGTAGCGGAAACACATCGTTACATAGGATTGATAGGGCATATCTCTGTTCACTATGTGATTATCTGTACACCTTATTTATACCAGATAATTAGATCAAGTAAAGAATAAGAAATGTACGATCTGATACCAAAGTGTGTAAAACATGTTATAAATTAATACTGGTTAATCTTGGCAAGGCAAAATGCTATAGCAAATAGGTGTTTTTACATCAAAGAATATATAAGATCTATAAGTCTGTTAACATAAAAATATGCATTCCAAAATATATGTTATTATGCAATGTGTAATAGAAAGCAGTTTATTAAATACAAACAACTAGGACATATGTCCTTTCCATCAGCGAACTCAAAATCATTTGAATTTATCATAAACATATTAACAATAACAACTAACTCAAGAAAATATATGTCAGAATGATTAAATTGATACATAACATCATACATAAACTTCTTTCATCAAATAATATTTTTTTATTAATGTCTTCAAAACAATTTGGTTTTAACCCACAACACAATGAAAATAATAAAAATAATTCACAGCTACTTCTCTATATAAAGAAATGAAAGAAAATATACATCTGAGCAGTTATAAAATCAGCAAATTCAATAATGAAGATCTCAAACTTATCAAAGTATTTCAAGTCCATAATATCAAGTGTACACTTGACTAAACAACGCCTTCATATACACAATTTCAACACAAGCATTTTGACAATGACAGATGCTGAGGCACTGTTGAAAGTCTAACAAAGTTGGTTGACCTTCCAGAAGATTGACAAATTCATAAATATTTACACCATATAAGTACATGTTTGACAATCCACTATTGACGTATGTTGAGGCACTATTGAAACTCCTTCCTGCGTTTTTCAAGTTCCCGGAGGACTGACAGCCAGGTGTCGGGGATGTGCTTCCCCAGGATGACTGCTGGGAAGGAGAAGATATCTTCATCGGTCAGTGTTTCATCAGGTTCCTTACTGTACAGTGGAGCATCTCTGTCCCCTTGCAGGATGTCTCGCAGGCTGTGGAATGTGAAGTTACATAAATCAAAATAAAATGTTTGTTGCAAATATTTATCACACCTTAGAGGTATTGGATACAGTTCAGAGTAACTATGACGAAGTTAAAATGAATAGATCATAGTTCTTCAAAGGAATATCTTTTTCCATCTTTAGTATTTGGTCAATTCCAATTTGAATCTCTATCCCCACGCAAGATGTTTTGTAGGCTGAGGACACTATATCGTACAAGAGTGATTGAAAGAACATGTGAGAGATCTATTTGTGATGAACAATGAATAATTCATGATAAATTAATTTATTATGGTATGGCATGTAATTTCTGTTTAGTCAATGCAGTTACCTTATTATACATGTTTATATCCACACCTTAATAATCTGTGCAAAGAGATGTCTGGATGTGCCATATGTGGGATATATCCCAACCTTACAATGACATGTATATAACATATCATTATCATTTAATTTCCATCACAATTTCACATTTTACACTGAATGGAATCAGTGTTGGTAGAGATTCCAGGGTGATTATTCCTTGGCATTGGAGCTTTGAATTTCAAAGCTTTTCTATCTAATTATATACTCTATATATTTATATATTTCAATAAAATAATTTGTACTGAACAAACAATGGTCAATATTGATATCCTTTTCAAATTCAACTACATGAAGAAGCCAGTTAAACTGGTTCAGTTTCCATTGAAGGGAAACTTTCATGTGCCTCACAATTATCAACCATATGCTCATTAAAAGCAAAACGTCACCAGCCTAAGATACTCAGACAGCACATAATCAGTCACAACATTCTGAAAAGACATCCAACCAACATACATTCATACAAGACATCATCCATCTTACATTCAAACAAGACATATCATTAACATTAAACACATTATCTGAAGGAACATGATCGGTCCTAGGCGCCACAATTTGCTATGCAGAATTCTGCCCTCTGAGTATGCCAGAAATGTGTAACTTTGAGTTGGAATCTTGGTCCATCTTGATTATTTTTGTCGGCACCCTATCTGTGCTCAATGGTTTCACTAAAGAGCTAAACATCTGAGGTTCAGGCTTTTCTCCTGCTGACATGCTGGGATACAACTGGATTATTGCTCTAAGTCGTATTGGAAAGAAACATTCACTCTCATTCATAAGAAGGCATCATCATGTTAACACATGAAGAAGGGCAATCAAGATAAACTTATCAAGCTAACACAATATGATGGAAGACACAAAAGACTAACACACATTAAGACAACACAACAGCCTAACATACATTCAGAAGACACATCAGCCTAACATACATTAAGAAGAAGACATATTTGGGATAATACATTCTGAAGAGAACACATTTGGCAGACACACATTAAGAAGAAGACACACCAGGTCAATCTTTATTCAGAAGAAGACAAACCAGGATAATAAACTTTCAGAAGAAGACACACCAGGCTAGCACAAATTCAGGACATGAAACATATTTAACACCGCTCACCTAATGCTCTTCAGGTCTATGGCATCCTGATCATTTGGGTCAACTGGTTGAGCTACTCTCAGCAGAAAGCAGTCAAATATTTGCTGCAGAAGGTACTCCAGCTTTTCTAGGTTCTTGTTCTGACAAAACTGTTTAAGTTCAGCTCTGGCACCATCAGGGAGACCTTCTTTCAGTTCATTGTCAAAATCATCAAAGGCATCCTAAATGAGATATACATGACTATGAAAAAGCAGGCCCCAGTTCAAAGAAATAGTATTTCTGAACATACTGAAATCTCTGACAATTGTAATAAACAGAAATAGCCTAGTTTCAGCAATCATTCCCAGGTGACTTCAAAAAGAATTCTAATTTACACTTTATTTATTTAAGAAAAACACAAAGGCTAGTCTGGGAGAAGTTTGCAAAGGTGACTATTTGTATAAAAAAATAAGATGGTTTCTAACCTGTCCATGTTGAGCTAAGATAACTGATTTCTCAAAACTTAGCAGCAGCCACAATGACTGTATATGCTTGAATCTGCAAAACTGTCTTGCCTGAAATAAATGAGAAAATATTGACAAAGTGTGACTGACAGGGGCGAACCTTTTTATCTTCGAATGTTCATTCCAATGTTTTCTGAAGGTCAACAGAAAATATTTCTCCCACATGATGGATAACAATCTGATATTTGGTCCCTGCTCATAAAGAGCAGTCCCATATCTAAATCTTTATTAAGTTTATTCTAAAATATGAGAGCAATGAGTTACATAGAAGCATGTCTGCTTGTGAACTAGCAGTCTTGACTATCATCATATGTTGCAGACATGGGGCCACCTTTTGAATATTTATATATATGTAAGGTTAACTTAAAGTGATAAATAACTTCAATCACAAACCTTCTGGCTAGTTATTGTCTGTTTCATTTTGAGCACATCTGTCATGAAAGTCTGCAGTGACTTGTCTGGTTCTCCTCCCAAAGACTTGAGGAAGCTGGTGGTGATGTCCAAGTTGTTGATAGAGTCACAGACATCTGGCAGTCTGGACTTAAGTTCAGACACAATTTGGAGCTTCACTGCTGGTGAGAGAGATTCCTGAAACAAGGTTGATGCATGTCCAGCTCATTAATGGAATAATCTGGCCCATGTCCAGAAAAGGTCAAGATTGTGTAGATCGTGCGCATTGGACTTTTATTAACAGGTTTATAAAACTGACATACAAAAATAAAACAATAGTTATCACTTTAAATAATTTTCAGAATACTTTCTCTATCACACCATTGCCATAAACCCTGTGTTTCTGACAGCAATCACTAAATCCAAATTTGAAAATTTTAACTATAAATTGTATATTTATATACTTATCCTATTTCACGGTATGCACTTCTCTCTCTTGATTCGACACTGAGAGGAACGATGTCAACTTTTTCTCCCTAGGCCTCTCTTGTCCATCCTCCCAATCACTCCATGCTACCCTCATTATAAGACAGCTTCCTAGTTGTCATGCAAAGCATGCAGCATCCTCCACTAGCTACCCACGTGACCACCTCTGAATAATTATTCTCATTTTTGGAGCCACTGGATAATCTACAAAGCGGGGCGGTAGTGCATGAGATAGGATAAGTATATATAAATTAAATTTATAGTTAAATTTTTACAATGTTTAAACTTATCCTATATCACGGTATGCGCAGTAAGAGTTCCGCCCGAGAAACCCCCGCTTGACATGTTTGCTATTTATGATCATTATTTCTAGGGGTTAGGATTTAGGATAAGGGTTAAGATTTAGCATTATGTCAGGGATAGGGTCAGGGTCTGGGTAGGCTTTCCAGAAAATACATCTTTTCTTAGGTATAGAGTTATTTAAAAAAACAGGGGTTGCGGGCAAAAATCTTTCCGTATGCACTTATCCCACTGTCGGATGGTGGAATGCAGATACCCTATGTCTTCACAGTGTGAACAGTAGAACTGTGTAGACTGGTAACAACCGTAGATAGCTGATGCACAAGGGAGGCCCATTACGACTCGCGCAACTCCTATGCTTGTGATGAGTTCCCCAGAACTCCTTGGCTTACAAAGCATGTCGTCTCCCAAAGGAGATGGGTGCTCCCAAGCGATGTGGTGTTCGGCCGCAACCTCCGAAGAACAGAAGGACGCAGCTCAGCGAGAAAGATGTCACTTTGCCATGATTTTCAAGGTACCCCCATAAATTAAAGTCATAGACAATAATCGGGACAGCCCCTGTTTCGAGAAGACCCCACACACACACCGACCAGGGGTGAGTGAAAGAGAAGCACAACTTGGAAAACTCAGTTTTAACGTTCAGTTCCAGTCAACATCAAATTGACCCTCACTCCTTTACATAAGCTTGGTCAAAGGATGAGCCTGGCAAGTTCGGAGCCGGAACGCAACGAAATCCACTGGAATTCGGAAATGACACTTCACTGACGTAATTGCTTCAAAAAGTAGAGGTCAGGAAATGTGAAATGTCTAACCCTTCCACATCGTGATACCTAATCGTGCTCAAGATTCATCCAACCACCGAGGCGGCGGTATCTCCATGCCTTAGTGTAAAACTAAGTGAAGTAGTTCTAACCTATAAGCAAGCAAAACATAAGGCAGACAATCAGTTCAGACTTATATTCAGGAAAATACTGGGAAGCAGCAACTGCATGGTACCATCCCCTATCTGCGTTGTTGGGCCGAGGACAGCTGTTGTGCGAGAACAAGGGGTCCAAACTGGTACACACCTTGGACGTCCTTAACTGAGAGGTCTCGAAGGTTGTGGAGGAAAAGACCGAGTCAGATCGCCAAAAGCACCCTTCCATAATGGCATGGTGAGAACAGTTACTATGCAGAGCAATAGCCATCTGATTCTTCGCTACAAAATCCCAGCGGAGACTGAGGAAAACTTTGCCATGCTTCTTCCATTTGAACTGGACTCTGTTAACATCCAAAGCGTGGAGTTCAGGAATCTGAGCAGCTGCAGCCAAAGCCACAAGGAAGAAAGTTTTGAAGGAAATCTTCTCAAAATCCTTCTGATCTAGGGGTTCATAGAACATCGAGGCCAAATGACCTAGCACCACAGATAAATCCCATGCAGGAGGTCTAAATTTCGTAGACTGATCAGCCAACTTGAAGGACCGGGAGCAAATACTGAAGCTCAGGAACCGTAGAGATCTTAGAGCCTGTGGTGGTAGCCAAGACCGAGTTGATCACAGCAAGGTAAGTGGCCAAAGTGGTACCCTTAAGCTTCCTAGACGACCGCAAATGCTGAAGAAATTCAGTGACGATTTGAGGTGACGAAGAAATTGGAGATGTCGGACTGGATCAGCAGAGAAGAATGCTGAAGTTCCGTCGCCCAATGCCGAATGGCGAGAAGAACCGCCAAGAACTCTAGCTCATTGATGTGCAAGTCCCGTTCTATGGATGACCACAGCCAGGCCTTCTGATGATGAAGAAAGTGAGTCCCCAAACCTTTGAGCGATGCAACGGCAAACAAGTGGTGCGTTAGAAGGAACGGCATCAAACAAACTCCGGCGCAAACGTTCTGTTCTACAAGCCACCACTGAAGAAGAGGACGTAAGGATTCGGGAAGACATCTCAACTCCTTGGGATTCTCTGATACGAGATACAGACGCAAGAAGCGATGCAACAGGCATAGTTGCAATTATCCCCGCCGTGTCAATGCCTGTGCCGATGTCAAGAGGCCCAAAAGTTGCTAATGGAACTAGATGTTGTATTTTCACCCATCTGTCTTGGGGGATGAAAATCAGGCCCTGATGCGTGTCGAAAGTTGCCCTGATGAACTGATGTGTCTGGGTCGGTGATAGTTCCAACTTTGCAACGTTTAACAGCCAACCCAGCTGCTTGAGAAGCTTCATGCTGAACTCCAACTGATGTAAAAGAATGACTGCCTGAATGCAGTCCTCTATGTAACTTTCGAACACGACCCCGTGGAGAGGTAAAAAACCTGGTGATCGGCTTGGTGATCCTGGTATATAGCGATGGGGCCGGAGAAGAATGGGCACATGGAGATATGCATCCTGTAGGTCTAGGCTGACAAGAAAATCTCCTTTCTTCAGGATGGTGCGAAGGAGGAAGGTCGATACCATCCTGAAGTGAGGTGGATGCTGGAGATAGTGGGCATTGAAAATTTTCATTAGTCCTAGTTTTGTTGAGTTTTTCTTGGGAACCAGAACGATGGGGGAATAGAACCCGGAGTGTTGGGCTTCCAGACCGAGAGACTGGATTACACACTTTTCTATGAGAGAGTACCTATCTTGAAACTGGATCTGGTCCGCTGGGTAACTGTGATGTACCGGATGCACTGTCAGAGGAGGGTGTCTGATGACTGGAAGCCTTTGGAGAGTAGGTTGGTCACAAAAGGATCGTCTGGGATGGTCCAATTGGGAGCGAACCTCCCTAACCTCCGCGCCTGAGAGTCTGTAATGATCTGAAATTGGTCCAGTATAAGGGATATACAGCCCCTAATGTAAGCATCTTGGTTGGAGAATGAGTGCTCTACTGATGCTGCAACTGCATCCACCATCTTGAGATGATGCAGTTGATCGAGGGTAAGGCGTGACGAACAGCTGTGTCCATGTGAAACAGTTCTCTGTCCTCAACTAAAAAGGCTGAACAAGTCCTTTACCCGCAATGTGTTTAGACATCTTCATCCCACGAAGAGGCAGTAGACAACGACTGGAACCCATGGGAATGAGCCACCCGCTAAAGAGTCTAGACAAAGGCAGATCGTCCCTAATCCTCTTAAGGCTTTTAAAGGCATGATCCAAGTATGTAGCTAAATGAGCAACCTGCGGTCGTGGTGGAAGTGTAATAAACGCCATGTCCTGTTGTCTCAAGGAGAAGGAATGCGCTAAGTCCTCTGGGTTCCGTGACAAAGGGAGATGGAGTTTCTCCACTATCCATGCTAAGACTTGAGGTTCGGGATCAACAAAATCCAGACTTCCCTCTGAGGAAGCAATATCCAAAGCGTGCCAGAGACAGAGGATCCGCTGGAAGACCAGGACTGGCCGCAACAGATGTCTGGAGGGGACGAACCGGGTGAAGACGCATACAAATGGAAGGCTGCAGGAGGGACGTGTATCATAACGGGAACTATGATCCCTGGATCTAGAACGATAGGCAGCACTCGATCATGTAGGAGATCTAGGTTGCCGGGTTGAGTCGCAGAACTAGAAGTCCCATGATCATGAGAAGAAGCGAAGCCCGATGAAGAGTCTTTGAGGGGAGAACGGATCTAAATGAAGTAGCGAAAGCGATGCGTTTAGTACGAATCGCTGACGATTCGAGTGGCGCCTCGGTGGTGAACTAGACCTAACAGGTCTTTCCGGTGAACAAATCCCAAGAATAATTGAAGATTGGTCCAAACAACTTCGGTCAAGCTGTGTCCGTGCTGAGGTCATGTGACTGTAAGAGCCAACAAAGTTCGGGAAGTACTCAGAGACATATGATCGGAGAAGGGCGTTCTGGCTGAATACTGATTCGAGGAATGCCGTTTTTCGTGAAAGTCAATTCAACACATGATGTTTCAGTGAATCCTGATGCAAAGTATGCTGTTTTTTGACTGAACATTATTTTGACAAAGTCCATTTTGGTGAGACCTGTTTGGAAGACGCGACCGTTCTGGGTGAATGTTGAAGACTAGACTGCCATTTCCGGCCGAAGGCCGGTTTGGAGAGCTGATTCATAGAGTGCCGGTCTGATGAAAACTGGTTCGACGAACTTGCAGGCTTTGGTGAAGTGGATGATCGAGGTATCGGGACACAGGAGACAACACTTCTATTCACCGAATGGGAAGTAGTTGGTGACACAACGACTTCCAACCGTTTTGGCGAGCTAGACCAATTCACTTCTGGACGAATGACGAGATCTTGAACGGCCACGGCTTAATGTGATCTTGACAGTCAGGTGTAGAAACCAGCTGATTCTTGTCCGTCGAAACTGATAACCCAGGTTCCCTTGATAACTGATCCGGGAGCTTGAGACACGGGAGCGTGAGTCGAAAGGTCCGCTGTAGTGAAGTATCCTGGAGGGTGGTAGCATCGCTTCGACAACCACAACACGGGATGTGGTCAAGACGAGGGACTCGGGCTGGGATGTTGAGAGCCAAGGAGTTTCCAAAGTCCTCCTCGATAAATAAGAGTAGGACGCTTTAAACTTGATTTTTTGTTGGGACTGGGTCCATCTTAACGATGCTGCATAACATGCTCTATCAGCAACACGCCGAAAGTTTACCAGCCCTGGTGTAGTCCTCGAAAGGGCCCTCAAAGGTAAGATTCTTGCATTCTTGCAATGAGTTTCCCATTTGCATTGTCCCCCACAATCGACACATAAAGAATGTGGATCACCCAAGCGACAAGAAGAAGAATGATGATTCAGAGGTGGTTTACTTTAGTGGAGCATGCGTCATGCTTCGCATGACAACTAGGAAGCTGTCTTATAATGAGGGTAGCATGGAGTGCTTGGGCAGATGGACAAGAGAGGCCTAGGGAGAAAAAGTTTACATCGTTCCACTCAGTGTCGAATCAAGAGAGAGAAGTGCATACCGTGAGATAGGATAAGTTTTAAAAATTTTCAGATTCTCACTGTCAGCTATACTTAAGTAGTTGCAGCAGCACTATCACCTTACAGCACTTTTTGGCATCTGATGGTTAGGTGTCCAAACCACTTCTGACAACATGAATTGATACATTGATGACATATCTGGAAAGGATATGGGATATCCAAGCTCCCTGGCACTGACTTGTCAGATGTATGATGTTCTTCATCATAATCTTGATATGATTCCATATGGCAGTAGGGAATCTCCGAATGGTAATCAAGTAGAAAGGGTGTGTCGAAACACACAACATAATCCTCATGGGTAGAATATGAGTTGCCATCGAATGGTGTCCAAGATTCATTGAGAATGTTTGCATGAGGAAGTTGCGATGAAAAGTGGTTCCACAGATAGGATTGTATAGTAGTTGCCTGGGAACCCTAATGGTAAATGTTCTATGCAGTGTTTTCGTGACTGAATGGAAGGTATTGTAATGAACAGATAATTGTGTTGGGAACATATGCTGGCCTTGAGGGGCTTTAACTGCTGGTGAATGGTCTGTATGGTCCATACAGGAGCCAGTAAGTAGCCAAGCAGACACTAACATAAAGTGTCCACGCATTTGACATTTATTACAGGGAAGCAGACAATGCCATAGGAATAACATCAGACACCAGTCACCAGCAAATACGTAATGTGTCCCGAATACAGTCCCTAATAGAGCCAATAAGTTATGCAGACTAACTATTAACTATGTAAACAGAAACAATCTAGAAACAATGTGACTACATAATCAAGGAGTAGGGGGGAACAACTATGTTGGGTGGTGTTCAGTTTAGCACCCACAGCAAAGAAGTGAGGTTTCCCTGTCTTTGCACAGAGAAGATTATGTTAATACTAAGTTGATCTGGAAGAAATCAATATTTCAATACTAACATTCAATTTTGTGGCAAAGTGTTTGTAAATCAACATGTAAACACTAAACAAATTTTATTACATTCCTGAATGTTGTTCATATATAAATATCAGGATGAACTTCATGGACTTCACCCAAACTAAAGTAAATTTTAGTTGCTGTTGCTGAAACTATGCATGGAATAATAATACTGGCATGTGAAAAATGAGAAAATTAATAACAATCATCTTATAAATGAAATAAAGTAATAATAAACAAAATATGAAATTCTAGTACTTAATATTGTTTTAAATAAGCACTTTTCAAAATCCACACTGAAAGTCCTTTCAAGGTTTGTGAGAACCATGCTACATTGATATCACATTTAGCACAGATATGGCCTTGGTTAGAATATCACATATCTGTCAACTCTCATGCATATGACGTGAGTCGCACACATTTCCAACTAATCTCATGGTCTCACGCCATGCTCCCATTTTCTCATGCGGGTAGTTATATTCAAACATTTTGAAAAATATTACTGTGAAAATGGTACTGAGATACTAGTACTCAGAGATATCCTAGTTGTGCCTAATTTTTGAAAAAAGTAGTTTTCCAGATACTGAACTAAAAGAAAAAATAGGTGTTGGAAAAGTAATATTTTGATAAGCTAAGGACAGCATTCATGACACAAAAATCTATGGCTGATCAAAACTAAATAAAAAAGTAAGTACCTGATCTATTCTGTCTCGCAGTATCTTGAAGACAACAGAATTGGTTGTGTCAGCTCTGTACACCATTGTGTCAATCTGAAATTCATATATTTTATATGTGAAACTTCAAAAATGTTCACATCACTTTTAATAAAATGATTTCAATGCAATTTTTCACATTTTGTAATCTAAATTTGTAACCATAACTCACTGGTATGACATGCGACTTCTGCTCCACTCTGGACTTGGCCTGTAGTATGACCTCTTTGAGCTGATACTCAAATCCTTCAAAGTCATACTCAATGGTGGTACCTTTCCCCAGCTCAAAGGAGTAGTTACAGTTGGCCAGGACAAGGGGCAGCAGGTCACGGTCAGGGTGGTAGCTGACCAGATGGTTGCTGTGAAGTTTCCTCATGCTGACCTCAGGCAGGCGCTCATACCTGCAACATACAGGGTCATGCTTAGCCATTACAAGTATGGTCATTCCTTGCCATAACATGAGTCATGGGGTCCATGGATCACTCCCTGCATTATATATAACATGGAATGAAGGCCAAGTAATATAGCATTTTTCTTGTGCATGGCATAAAGAGCTAGGATTAGGGGAATACAGGGATGAGACAAACGCTGTGCAGTTTCATTGCAAAATATATATACAACTAGCTAACAATGTCTATAATTCAAAGAATACTACCTCTATTATATCATAGCCACTGCTATTCTTTTACATACTGCCATTATAACTGTTCTGCCATTGACTGTTGTACTGTGTAGTATCATTACTTTGTACTAAATAATTTGTATTAAGGCTTATTATTCAGTTACTTGTATAACATTTCTTTGTTTCATGTCACATAACAAAGAATAGATGGAAAAAAATTCAGGTTGTAATATGTACTCATAGGAAAGAAGTGATGATTCCCATTGTGTACAAAGGTTATTGCACTGCACACAGATCACTTTACAACTAGATGTTGGCCAAATTACTAGTACATAAATTGTGACTTCGAAGTCACTAAGGTATGGTATTCAAACAAATTATAATGGTTTTATAACTCTATTTCAGTGTTTCTTGGAAACTCACTTTTGTTTTGTCTTGTTACAGTAACTCTCCATGAATTCATTATGCTTCCTGAAGAGGAACTCTAGCATCATGTAGGAGCAGATGCCAGGCCCCTGAGTGGACGGCAGAAGGACGGCCAGGGGAGAGTTCTCATCAATCCTCATGTTCTTGTAGGCATCAGGCAGGTGTATCAGACCATCATGGACTGTCCAACATCCTGAAATTAAGGCACACCTGTATCATATTTAGTGTGTCGCTTGAAATATTTTACATAAATATATAACCTAAAAAGTAGTTCAGATGAATGCTTATTTAAAGAAGTGTTGTCAACAGATCTGCATAAATTGTATTATCTGTCATCGTGTTCACATGTAAGACATTTACACATCTACATCTTTTGATAGTGTCATAGAAGGAAATCTTACCGTAACTGTGAAGTCCTTCCTTGACACATTCCCAGGCTGCTATGAAATCTGAGAGAGTTTCCAACACATCAATAGAGTTGTTTCCTGGAAGACAAAGTGAATAAGTTGATTTGACACTCACCTACTGTGTGATCCTTAATGAGGTCTCAATGCATGGTTATCATTTCTCTTGTTTATAAGGATAATAATGATATGAATACCGTCTCCTGCAGCATCAGCAATAGTCATATTTTTTGCCTCCACTCTATCAAGGCGCCGCCTGTATTTTGCCATAAGGAACTGTTGCAGCCGTAGAATATTTGGGATGCGATGTAGTGCTTGTAGGAACGGATGCTGAAACACAGAATATGTACAAAAGATTTTGGATTGGGAGGCCAGTGTGAGATACGTTAAATATTCAAGTCATATTAACAGGGATTTACAGGAAGCAAATTCCTGCGTCCCATACGCATAAAAATTGACAATGAATACAACAGAATTTATTAGCGCATCCACAGGGATGCAGAAAATGTCCAAATACTTTTGTAAAAATTCCAATCAAGTAACAATTAGTTTGCTACTAGCTGAGTTTGCAATTTCATTACTGTAACAATTAAACTGTTGATCATGAAACACAATACAATAACAGTATTAGTAATAATAGATACAGTGTCTGTGAGCCCCATTTTGTTGTCCAGGACCCGTGAAAATTACAAGCATGAGTCCCAGGGACCCTCAAATACAGGACTCAAGGTAAATCCCTGTATTACAGTATGGCAGCATAACGTAGGAGGAAAGATTAAAGTGTAGCAGATCATATAGATTCATAGACAATATTTTCGAACAAACTATGTGCACTGGTATGTTAATTACAGACCAAGGACCATAACTTGTGTAAATCTAAGATTCCAGCCATCCATTAGAAGGATATCTGAACACAATGCAGGTCTCATTTCTGCTATCAATTTCTTTTTCACTCTTAGTAACATACCTGTTGTCTGAAAAGGCCAAGAACTTCCATCTTGGATTTCTTGCCCTTGATGTTCTCTACTTTCAGATGAAACTCTCTCAGGAAATGCTCCAGTGTGATACGTGACCGGTACCTCCAGACAGCTGGGAACTCGTGGAGACATTCAACTTCCTGGGTGTGGATGTGTCTACCTCATACAGAATAGACATCAACTTGTCCTGACCTATGAAAGATATACAAATAGGTTAAAAAAACAACAATAATAATTCCATCAATAATTCATCAGGTATTAAATACTTCTACCTATTGCTCATATACCTATTGCTATTACATAATTAACCTCTATTTCATACAAAGAAAAGTTAGTGTAAATACAACATATTCAAATGTTTCAGCATATCATGCTTGATTCTAGCACATAGCCCAGAAGGACATATGTATCCTTGATTTCTCTGTAAACGTTTTGGAAGTGAAAAGCCTTTTTCTGGAAGTGTGGACATTCAGTGTTTCAGAAAACATTCCAAGGCTTTCACAAAGAGCAAGTGTCACTCTGTTCAAAGAGACTGACAAAAACATGATTGGAGCTAAAGGTCTTAATGGATTGTTTTCGAAGCACAAAGTCTTATCACATCTGGGGAACCTTATATCAAGCATATCTTCTTTACTGCCATTGAATATTTACTTCCTTGCTCATACTACTTTTGTCACAGATGAAAGTCATGCCACAAAAAAAATATGAAAATTGATAAAAATAATCCGGACATATTAGAACTACTTCAAGGTGAACTATTTCTGATGCATGTGAACAGGATTTTATACGCAATGACAAAACAAAAAAAGTATCTGAAACTATTATTTTATCCATTTTGTATTCTTACATGATTTTAACCTTAATCAGGGTTATGCATGTAGCATTTTGGTGTTTTATCAAATACATCAATGCAACAATTGACATGTAACTGTTGGGGTTTCTTGCACACTAGCTATTACCCCCAACCAGTATGCTGACATTTAGCACTCACACCTGTGATGACTTTTATGACTTATAAATTAAAAGTCAAAATATGTCAGTCATGACACATACATCCATTTGACTGTCAACTAAGGTTTGCTTCAAGGCATCAGTAGTAGCAATATTAAAGTGGTTGCAGTGAATCATGTAAAGGTATGTGGTAAGCGAAACCTGTGGAACTGGGTAAACAGAAGTTTTAAGGATTGTCAGACACAATATTGATATCAATATTATTGAATGAAATACTATACACTATATACAGTGAGACCTCGGATATCCGGACACATTCGTTTTTACGTAAATTGTCCGGATAATTGAATATCCGGATATCTGGATTTTTGGTTTTCATACACCTCAAGGAAAATCCAAAATATTTATGATCATCAGCGTTTATTATACATGTATAGACATTCAAAAACAGCATCACAACATAACTGGCTTGAATATCGACACACTGCACTTTTATTGCTTTGACTGAATAGACAACATCGTATCACTTCGCGTGAACAAACAACAGAAGACGACTTTGTCAGTAGAGACGTCAAATTTGCAATTAAACATCACTAGACAAGATTATTTACCTTTAAGTTATAAGTTGTTTTTGCTGGGCTTTGTATTATTTGCAGGGATTAAGATTACTGTGCGTATTTGTCTCGTACACAAAGCCGGAAATAGCAATCAGCTGTGCACACGTTTCCCGGCGAACAAGTTCAAACATGCACAATAATATAACGGGACGAATTCTGACGCAGTCATCAGTAAAATATAATACAGAATACCGGTAGATCAAAGCTTCGTGCGGATAGGTGAGTCAATTTTGTGTTGATTTAGCCGGTTTGTTTGTAAAATGTACCGTCCGGAAACGGAAACTGAATATCCGTTATAGACAGTCACTTTTATAACGTAAGAGAATGTTTTTTTCTAAAAATTGACCGGAAGGCGAGGTTTCCGGATATCTGGGGTCCGGGTATCCGAGGTCTCACTGTAATGTACTATAATAAATATTACAGTTTATAAATATAAGACCAGATAGGTAATGTACACTTTCCATTACCAGATAGTGTAACAACAGGATTAATTTGTATAATTCAATACAGATTTATTGATATTCTATTTCCAATGACTATTCATGGCAAGAAATAGGCAAGTTGGTGGTCTGGCTTATGTACCAGACATACTATTAATTTTTACATAAATTTCAAGGATCAAATGGAGATCTGGTCTTGAACATGAGACAGTCATATTTGGTACAAAAATGATTTTGTGCAATCCATCATTTTACCACAAACAGACTGATGGATTCCATAAAACTGATAGACATAATTCATTGAACATGAGACAGTACCTATTCTCTTGTCCTTCATGATTCTCTCATTGCATGTATTCAGGCAGTTGTCAAGATCCTGTGAAGAAAATGAATACAAACATTTAGATTTAATTTTCTTGCAGCTGTGTGTCACCAACAACCCATGTTACATAAATGAGGTTTGTGAGAGCACAACTGGGTAATGCGACTTGAACTGTAACACCTGGTACCTGTAACACTGGGCCAATGAAAGATTTTGCAAACTGTTCCTCCCAGGTTTCTCTGATCTGCTTGTTGTCCAGTGCTTGTGGCTCCATTCGTCTGTATGCTTCTGTGATTCAAACAGACAGATATTTTTATTGAAACCTGTTGATATTTGTTAAACATATACTTTTGGATATTGAACTATAACTGAATAAAATACTAACACAGTGGAAAGAATTGTCAAAGATGAAAATATGGAATGTTAATAAGCATAAATTACAAACTTTGGAAGACATAACATAAGTATAAGACTGCTGCATAACGGTAGTGGTCTTGCTGAAAGCTTACCTGATTGAGAAATCTGATGGCAGATGAAGTGTAGGAGGAGGAAGACATCATCTACACTTTTTCCTGTGGCCATGTGGATGATCTGAAGGTCCTTCTGGAGGTGTTCCAAGAAAAACTGTCTGACATCCTGCTGTAGAGGGGGATAGACTAGAGCTGCTGTGGCCTGCAATAGATCAAGGTAAATGCATCTGTCAGTGGCAGACTTTCATAAATTCAACACACTTTTAGTATTTCTACTTGTAACATGTTACATATGTGACACATTTTAATATGAAGGTGAAACTTACAAATGAAATATATGCAACAGGCAATAACATGTTTGGAACAAATTTGGTGTCCAAATGCTTGAAATATATTGAAATCGCTGGTGTACATGGTAATCAACCAACAACTTGCCTGTTGGTTGGTCTCTACTCCCAGAAGTAATGCAGCATGAGTGAAGAAACGCAGTACAGCACAGGCAGCTCCTCCCAGTCTGCGTTCACCTGCATAGGCATTGGTTCTGTCTGCTGCTCTTCCCAAGAACATGACCAGGACGGGTCTGGTCACTATAATAAAGAAATAACTACTGGCAACCAACTAACTTGCATGTATCCTCATGGCAAGATTTCCAGGTTTACTATGAGCAGACATGGATACAAATCATTCACAAAGATTTCTCACTACCCCATAATGTTCATGTCAGTCTTCACAAACCCACACAACATCAGAGCCATATTTGTGACCATAAATACTTACCCAGTAACCTGTGTATTTCCAGCTGCTGCTTGGTGAGATAATCCACCAATCTTGGTTTTACAGATGTTGCAGGTTGCTTCAGTATAAGGTCTACCACACTGCAAAATGTCATAAGATAACACAGTAATAAACAGGATTTATAACACATAGATCTTTAAGAAATAGCAATATTGATCATGATGTCTTTTTTCTAAAACTCTGTGTACATACAGTCATGCATATGACCTTTCAGTCCAAAGTATGAGGTTTTTAAGAAGGTCCTTAGATATGTGGAACACTAAACTTGAAGGCTTCAACTGTCATTTAAAGTTGGGTTATTAGCATTAGTCTCTCAAACAAAATTTAAATCCAGGATCTTTTAGTCTCAGGACATAATTTAGCAGTCTAAATATCACAGATTTTCCAGGACTATGACTTTTCATAACCGAGACAAAAAAATATAATCTGCAATGACTTTGAAAACCTTCAATAACAAGTATAACTTATTTTGTACATAATGCAAGGATTTTCAAGCTACATGTATTTTGCTGCTACTCAAGGCTCTCCAAGTCTGATGCTTAAACTCAAGGCCTTTCATGAGGGAGCTTGATATCAATGATATTTTAAGCCAGTATTAACCATGTCTCATATGTATAAATATCTGATGAAATTTAGAACTTTAACAAATCTGCAAACATACCTGCAACTTTAAAGCGATCTTCACATGGCAAACTAAAGTTTGACAGCACATGTTGAAATTTTAAAAGTTCTCAAACTCGCGTTTTCACACGGCAAACACAAACTTTCGTGTCATTTGAGCATCACGTCCCTATCGGTGCGGTCACGTGTCAATTTCATTGATTACGATTGGTTGTTTCAGAACAACACAGGTTTGACAACACTTCAGACGTCAAACTTGAGTTTGACAACACCACCGAAAGTTTGATGGAAAATTTGGTGAGAATAGAGACCGATCCTATTTCTTTACAACAGTTTGGCAACTCTGAAATTGGTCATGGTGGCGAGTTGTTGGAATGTTCACACTCTCAAACTCGAGTTTGCCGTGTGAAGGCCGCTTTAAACATGAATAGTCGGATAATCTTACATTTACATGTGATCAATGTTTGGAATTATGGCATGTAACATTAATGTTTAATTGATCCTGCAGTTACATGAGTTATGATAATTCTCTAATTATCCTTGACCATATGTATTTGTAAATGGTGCCTACCTCTCCAATAGCATATGGGTGTCCATTTTGACATTCTGGAAAGAAATCAAAACAAAGAGGCTACATTACAAACTTTTCCATACTAAACTTGGACAATTTGGGACTTATTGTGTAACATTCTAACATACTACCTCTATTACCTCATTGCCATAATTACTGTAATATGGCTAACATCACACCATCCAAACCACTTCTTCGGTAAACTGTACTTTGTGAAAAGCCTTTGTGCTAGACAGTAAACATCACTTCTTTCCAATCACTACATCCACTTAATGCAGACAGAGTGCCATAAGTGGTGACATAATAGAGCTAGTATTCTTTGAATTATACTTAACTATTGTTCGCTAATTCCTTTGAATACAAAATGTCTGTTACATCAGTCAGAATACTCCAGAGTGTTTGGTGGGGTCTAACATTTAGTAATCTGGGACAGCTTGTTTGTGTATGAAATTCTCCCTTCTCTAGTAATATCTCAATAGTCCAGTGGTCATCTGCCAAAGGAATTCCCGCCAAATCAACAATCTCCATGTCTGCATATGGTGGTATAAGTGCAACTTGTATCCTGTTCAAACAACCTTGAGTGTCAAATTGTTAGTTTGGAGTTGTCCCTATTAAATTTTGGGGCTGCTCTGAAGTTGAAATCTGGTACATGATGATAATATTAATAATGCCAGAAGACAAAGCCAAATGGACAACCCTGTCCCTTTCATTACCTAGTCCTTCTGCCATGCATGCTTTCTAGAGGACTAGGTAGATGCCTTCTCTAAAGATTCCGTGTTCAAAGATCAAAGATAATGATGTATCACTTCTAATGATGCTTAGAATGATGAAGTACATGACTAAAGACATAGATGTAATCTGTAAATCATGATGTTGTAGTGCAGCAGTTTGCTTGATAGAGAATACATCAAGTACACATATGTGGGTCCCAGACTGTTATGGTAGTTCTGTGGCCCTGGAGGGGTAGATATGGATTCCATGCTCTAAAATGTGTTACCAGATCTTACATCTGTATATCCAGATCAGAATAAACATATTTTCTATTTGCCTTTTGAAAGTTAGAAATAAATTTAGTGTTTTAAACAAATAAAACATATGAGAGTGTAGATTGATAAAAATCAGGTGTTGCAGCTCGCACACCCATGAAAGAAGTGACATTTCCCACACAAATGCTTCTGCACAAAGTACAGGTACCTACCTCGGATAGCTGACAGGATAAAGTGGTCATCTGATGAAAATGTTTTGGATTTTTTTCATGTGATTTTAGCAGGGTATAAATAGCTATGATATCATACTGGAAGGATAGTTAAAGAGATTATTGTATTTTGATAAAGAAATAGGAGATTGGATGTAATGCAACAGTATATAATTTAACATTATGTATGGTAATATAAATGTAACCTTTGTTTACAAATTAACCTTTGCATAAGATGAAAGCAAATGATTTTAACTTCTGTTACAGAAAGTTATAACGTGTAATAAACAGTTCTTCTCCAACAACTAACAAACAAGGATGAATCAAAGTATACTTACGGTAGAACACAATGGTTCCTTCTCTTGTCAGACTTTGTCTGATGGCATCTATGTCATCCTGTGGCATTGTGGGAAGGAACATGTTCTGTGGGAAAGTGAACAATCACTGCTACACAGGTCTTTATGATAATGAGCAATACATCAATGGTGTTAACCGTTCTATGGCATACCAATAAATATATGGAAATAAATCAAACTGTACTACAAGTAGGGGAAATATATATGGAATAAATATCAGTATTTCCTTTATACCAATCACTAAGTCAACTTGACAAAGTAAAAGGGCTTCACTCTTACCATCATTTTGTGTGGTGCCAGAATGAGGTCTGTGAGAGGTTTGATGAAGTTTGTCACCTTGTTGAAGTGAGTTAGAGTGACATATGCATGGACTAGAAGACACATCACACTCTGGTCTCTCATGTTGTGACCTCGTCGAACAGTCAAACAGGATCCTGGACCACCAAGCTGATTTCTCAGCAACCTCATGGCTATGTCCTATCACCATACAAAATAAATAAATAATCTCATTAGTGTTTATCATTATTTCATATTTCAAATTTGACATTAATTGTTTATAAACTTTAGAGGTATACCATCATATATATTAAAGGATAAACCACAAGTGATGTCAATTTATCAATGATGAGAAAATAACTTTTATATCAAACTTTTTATAATGACACTTCATGGCTTACCTTTTGAGTAACCTTTTCTTTTGTTGTTTCAATAAATGTTGCAATGCCTTCCACAGATTGTTCCTGCAACATTAATGATTAATATTGATATGGCAGAAAACACCTACAGCTTGTTCAGCTTGGCCTGATCAAGTGAATACTAGTGCATTGCATGACCCGTGTCACAACTGGTTGGGTCTATTATTGTGAAGGGTGCACCTTTGTCAGTTGATTGTCAACATTTCTGAACAGCCAAGACAAGGTTGCCGTTTGACATCTCAAGCGTCAAGAAATGCGTCAGCAATGTCCTAACTTTCTTTAAAAAGAAGCTACAGATGGTTTAATGTTTCCGAGGAGCACCTTTAGAATACAGCACCACAACTTCTCGTTAAGACAATCTCTGCGTAGAGTCACATGTCATTAAGACAAGCAACCAGTTTGGAAGAACCTGTGGGGCCTTGAACCAGCGTCCTTAGGATTGTTAGCTCGACAGCTAACCAACTGAGCCTACGTCCACACTGTTGCACAATGTGCAAATTTATCGAGGAGTCATTCCTGTGATGTCGCTGGAAATGAATGGAAGAGTCAAATGGAGTCACGGACAATTACGAAGGTTGCAGGTAGGCGTGATGTCTTGTTATTTTAATCTATGGACAATTGGCGAATGGACCCGATGCCATTTGGCACACTTTCGTCCCATTCCATAATTTACAAGATAAGCGTGTGGTATGAAATGAGCAGATATGCCTCCATCTGAAAAGGGTTTGTTGGCGTTAAGCGTCAGTCATCAATATCCCCCATAATGGCAAAATACTCTTCATGATTATGTCTCACGAGTTATGATATATGTCAAATATTTAGGTGTGTATATAGAAAAGTGGAAGGAGAGTATTGAAAGGTTCTTAAAGTTCTGTTCCAGAAAGGAGCACTATCACCAATTTCAGTCTATGTCAAACTTGTTGCAATGGAAAGCGCCAACAATATTTTATTCAGAATTCCAAAACTACCAAAAGGCACCAGTACATCACCAGATGTACGTACATATAAGTTTGGTGAAGAAACGATGAGCGGTTTTAGAGTTCTGCTCGAGGAAAAGAGCACTACCACTAATTTCAGTTTAGTCAAACTTATTTGCCATGGAAATGCCAAAATATTTTATTCAGAAATCCAAAACTACCAAAGGCATCAGTAGACAACCAGCTCTAAGTGCTGAGTTTGGTGAAAAATATTAAAGCGGTTTTAGAGTTAGGTTCGGAAAAGACAAATGTGCAAGGATGCTGCGCCTTGCATACGGACAGAGTCCATTTTAATACCCCAGCAAAACATGTAGCGGGGGATAAAAATACATGTGAACTAGTCTTGTGAAAAATTATTGCACTTTTTATTAGAGCTGCTTCAGAAACAAACACTACCATCATTTCTAGTCTAAATATGTTGAGATGGAAACTTGTGAAATAGCTTTTTTTGGTGTAAAATCCCAAACTCCTACGACAGACATATGTCCACACAGAGTCCATTTTAAATGCCCAGCACTTGTCATGGGGATAGGGGTGTAACAATGGTTGACATGAGTCTCATCATGGCAAAAGTGAATTAAGTTGAGTAAAATAACATGTTATATTACAGAAACTGAAAATACTACACAAAACTTATGCCTAATTTTGTCCTCAGAAAGATGTTAGAAATGTTCACATTAATATTTTAAGTCAGTTGGCAGTGATACAGTTCAGAGGAAAACATCACCAGCCTGTGTTATATCCTACCTGTGTTTGAGGGTTGATGTTCCTCATGAGTCACCTCCTGTGTATGGCCAGGAGGAACAACATCTCGTTGTCCTGTAATGTCAGTCATACATTGCTAATTATATCAGAGGTACAGATAAGCTGCGTATCTGCGTAAAGTGCATAAATATTTATGTGAAAACTCAATTAAATTACTAAGTCTATTGTGTACAAATGCGGCTTGAATATTTGTAAATACTCCATAAATGTTATCTTACATGCGTACACAAATGTCAAATCTTTGCTTAGCGTACCGGTGGATTAGATAGAATAACTGAGGTATATTGAGAGATTCAATTTCAGGACATGAACTTTTAGCAACTTGCAGTCTTTCTTATCGTTTCTCATATTACAGATCAAATTTAAATAACAAACACTAATATTTAAACTTTATTATGTTTTTAAAATTAATGGAAAATGGCAAAATACCCAATCGAGGTGAGTACAATTTATTTGGTTACTCAAAGGAAAATTTGGATACCCAATTGCGAAGAAGAAAAGGAATTACATAACTCAATGACCCAAAAGTTATCTGTAGCTCTGTATATGCATCTATCCTGAAGTAATCATGTGTACTTATCTTTCTTGGAGGAGAGAGACATCATTGCAAAAGCCAAAACACAGGTCAAATGTAATTTTATTCTAAATACACAATAGCAATGCATATAAAGTAAAGATCTATGCAGCACTATTGTGGCAAATAAGTAAGTCATAAGTTGGCTTTTGTGCATACACATCCAAAGCCAGTCACCACTAAAACTTTCAATGCTCCAGAACATCTAAAATTAGTCTAAACATTTCAAATTTGAGTAGAATTAACCAAATTAATGATAAGCAAAAGTATATTTCTATGGTGTTGTTATCTTTCACTTGGAGGTTGGAAACAGTTAATAAGCTTATTAAAAGATATGGTTTGAGGTCGACCTTGAATACAAAATGAGATCAATTTTTAGTTCAGCCATGTTCCAAAGGAAATCAGTGAGAAAAAGGCAACATTTAGGACAGAGTTATACTCAGGAAATATATACAGTACAGATAGACATTATGATTGCAAACACAATTACCTTGACCAGTTGTTTCAGGTGCTTGATGTCTTCACCCAGAAGAGTCCTGGCCAAAGTTTCTCTTATCTTTTGGTATTCAAGACAGACAACATACCGATCAGGACACTCCTTTACCTGCAATTATGAAATACTGCATTCAAACATTGAAATCAAAACCTTTAATCATTGACTTTGTACTAAGTTAAATTGCTTTTTTCTTACTTGTACATAGATATTCATTAAAATCTCCAAAACTTAACCAAACCTGAAGAGGGTTTTCAATTCTTCGAAGGAGTCGTCCTTGGGGTACATATTATGCATTTTCCAGGCTGAAAATGTCCTGTGACAGTTGTATCAATGTTTTGAATAAAAATATTGTACAATAAATAAAACTTTTAAAATTATTATCGGCCCCCACCTCGTGGAGTTACCTCCCGTTAGCATGCGCACCAACTGGGTAAGCACACCAGGCCCGTATCATCATTCCTTCTGCTGAATAAATCCAGTGAACAGAATTGCGGGAGGCGGGGAGGGAGGCCCTACCCAGGACGACTCTCTTGAAGAATTGAAAACCTCTTCAGGTTTGGTTAATTCTTCTTCATAGAGATCGTCCTTGGGGTACATAATATGCATAAACACAGACTCCCAGAGACCCGGAGGCCAGGGAGGAGGGAATTCTGTCCAAGCACATACAAATAGCTATCGATTAATTAAATAATGTAACAGGCGCCATAATCACTCACCTGTCAAATGTCCCAGTTTAGCTTCCGCGAGAGGCATTATGGGAGGGGAACTGACAGGGAGAAATTGCACTCAAAGGCGACCTTCCGCAGGTTAGCATAAGAATCGCACATTAGTGGTGTGAAATGTAAACAAAACCCCACCCACCTTGTGTCGATTAGAGAGCACCATAGGGGGAATGTAAAACGCTCACTACCGACCTATATACTCCGTGAGAGGATCGAAATGAGGTTAAGCGCCCAGCAGCCGGATATGCCAATAAAAACACAGTACTGAACAGCAGCGTCAACAAAACCAATGAACCAAGACTCACTTTCGGTCAGGGTGGCAGGACACTGTCCACTGGAGAGAACAGAACGGCCAAAGCTGCGCACGATTATGGGAATGTGTATCGAGCTGATAGTGCCCGAATCGCTCGCGTGCTAGGCGGCTCCAAATAAGCGGCAGAGCAGATCTCTTCAATGTTGAGTGCGATGCAAAAGCTTTTGATGCGGCTACTGCCTGACCGAGTGAGCCTTCAACCCCTCAGGGGAGGCTTGCCCTTAGCCTGATCACGCCAGCACAAATAGTGAAACTAGCCAGCGGAGACAAAGTCTGCTTGCTCGCCCGGCACACCAGCCTTCCGCCCCGTAACAACAAAACAGCTGGGTACCCGTGCGGATTCCTGTGTTTGTTTGATATAGACCTTGAGAGTCTTACGGACATCCACTGGGTGAGTGCTTTCGTTGCGAGGTCCCGATGTGGAAGGCTGGGTAGAGTGGGAAGTTCGATAGGAGCTGTCACATGGAAAGCGTGATCGACCCTCGAGGCGGTAAAAAGTATCCGGGAGGCCGAATACTGACCACGATCAGTGTGAAACACAGTCAGCGTCGGGTCGGACTGACATAGCATGTAAATCGCCCGACCCTCGCCCAGATGTTACACGCCACCAGAAATACAGCCTTCCAAGTTAACAACTGAATGGAAATAGCCAATAGGTGTGAGAAAGTGGGACGGACAGCCAATCGAGCACAATTGACAAATCCAAAGGTGGGCTGGTTAAGCCTGACAGCAGGTCGAACCCGATCCGCGCCAGCTAAAAGAGCTGTCACGAGAGGTGCTGCCCCAGAAGGCACCATCGACAGGGGTGTGAAAAGTGGAAATAGCGGTGGAGTAGCCACGAGATGGTCGAAGCATGCCAGGCCTTCTTCCAAAGCGGGCTTGCAAAACTCCAATACTCAGACTAAATCCGCCAGAAAAGGATCTGCAATCCCCTATCTGAACACCGGGCGCGCATAAGCGGGACCACCTATCCTCATACTGAACATTTGTCGAATCCCGCCTCGAAGCCAGAATTGTGTCTGCAACTGCTGCGGGAATTCCGTGCTTCAAGGCTAGACCTGACAGAGAGCCAAGCCACCCACTGGAATCTTTGGATTGGGGTGGGGCTCCATTCTGAGTGAGAATGTCCAGTTGCAAAGGTAATAGAACAGGAGGCTGAGCCAGAAACCTGAGAATTACGAAACCAGCTCTGTGACGGCCAAAGCGGTGCCAGTAGCACAAGCAGCCGAGCTGGCTGGGTGGACAGCTAGCTAATGAAAGGACCACGGGGAATGAGTGGTAACGGCGGAGGCGCCCAGAGCACTTTGTCCGTCCAATCCAGCAGGAAGGCGTCGGCAGCCAAGCGCCCTCGGGTCGGTGATGCCGAGCAAAACACGGTGTCTGATTAAGTCCCCGGGGGCGCAAACAGATCCACCTGGAGCGACCATTACAACAGGGGAGATAACTCCGAATATCTGCCCGGTCGAAGCATCCACTCGTGCGGGGCCAGGATCCAGCGAGAGAGGCGTCTGCTCGCCACGTTCTCCAGCCCGGGGAGATAAACAGGGAGTACCTGACAATCGCTGGTCGCACCAGAGGAGAAAGTCCCATGTCTCCCGGAGGAGGCCTTTCGGGACACCCGTATGCCTTGCTTCAGGATGTGACGACATGGCCGCCTGGTTGTCCAACTGAAGATGAACCACCTGGCCCTGGACATGCTCTCGGGCTTCGAAAACAAACCGCGCAGCTCTCAGTTCCAACACGTTGATGTGAAGGTGGGCCCGGCTTTGGACCAGAGTCCGGACACCGACAGACTGCCCAGAACACCCCAGCCCGTGAGGGGCGCGAGATCGGTCTGAACTGTAAGAGCTGGCGTCGGGGATTTCCAAGGGGACTCCCCCTGGTGAGATTTCCCCGACATTGGTCCACCACTGAAGGTGAGGTGACAACCACCGGGAACTGTGAGACTCGGCTCAGGTCCTACAAGTGAGCCCACAGACTTCGCCAAAGCTTGCTGTATAGAGGCATCCTTTACAGCGCCCGCCACACTACAGAGATCGCCGCCCGCCATATGGCCCAGTAGACAGAGCCAAGTCTGTGCTGGTGCCTGGGGCTGGGAGAGGAGCGAAGACACCATCACCCGTACTCTGGTGACCCGGTCGGGCGACAAGGAAACAAGAGCCTTGTGTGTTTTGAACCTAAGCCCGAGAAAAACCAAGTCCTGGGTGGGTACCAGGTCGGATTTCTTGAGGTTGATGATCCACCCCAGTGAGAACTAGAATGTCTATCACTGTGTGAGTAGAATCTAGGCTCGCTGGCTGTGAGCAACCAGTCGCCGAGGTAAGGGTAACAACCCCTTCCTTGCGGCCGGCGAGGTAGGTAGCGGGACTAACATGAGCTTGGTGAACACCCTGGGGGCAGTGGATATGCGAAGGGGAGCACCATGAATTGGTAACTCATCCCGCCGTGAAGAGAACCGAAGGTACTGCTTGAACGATGGATGTATAGGCACATGTAGATCGCATCCTTTAGGTCGATTGGCGTGGAGCCAATCGCCGAGGCTGAACAGAGGAGATCACCGGCGCAGTGTCCTCCATCTTGAAGGATGGAACCTCTAGCATGCGATTCAACCCCTTGAGGTTGAGAATGGACGGCACGGTACCAGCGTCTTTCTTCGAACGAGGAAGCACACGTGGAGTAAAATCCTGCCTGTTCCTCGCCCGGTGGAATGCGCTCGATGGCGGACTTGTCCAGCAAAGCCTGGACTTAATCAAAGCAGGTATGTCCGCCAGAGGCGGCGTATGCGGTGAAGTCGGGCGGACCTCCTTCCCACAGTGGTAAATGGCCGACACTGGCGGTGGACAGCACCAAGTGTTGTTTGTAGCCTTCTCCCCTCCGGCAGGAATAGAGAGGCGGCCTCCAACTGGGGCGTGCTGGGTAAGAAGCGTGAGTGGTCCCAGGTAGCGGAGCTCACTGGGAGGGACACTGCGGTTTGGTCTACAGCCTGATGGGTTAACGGGAGGTCGGGCAGACCTCCCAGCCACCGGGAGCTGGGAGCCAGTTGAAGAGGACTGCTCTTTGCCCTACCGCCCTGGCGGAACAATTCCTCCGCCCTACCCCTGCCCTAGCGGCTGAAGCCAGCCAGCAGACTCGGGGTGTAGGCTGCACCCGGCGGAGGAAGTCCCGGGAGCCCGGGAGCTTCGAGGCGAGAAGCCGGCGGGTGCTCCAACAAGGCCTGCCAGAGTCCTTGAAGGAGGTAGCTGCAGCGGCAGCCTCCCCGTATGACCTGCTGGGCCCCAGGAAACAGCGTCGCTCCCAGGCGGTAGGGAAGGACCAGCAAGGTCTGCTGTGTAGCTGCTGAGTACTGAGGCGTCGACAGCCACAGCTTGCATCCCCATGACTGCGCACATCATCACCGTCGAGCCGACGAGGCAAAGGAGTGTAGCCGCCCAGTGTGCCTGGACTTGGATAATTGAAGGAGCAGAGCGACATGGCGAAAGGCGTCTCCAGCGTGCCCTCCGCCTCCAGGGCCGACCTCTGTATCGAGAAGAGGTAGGCCTCATGGACCACTACCGCACCCACTGCATAGCATTCCGGCAGACCTCCTCGTGAGGTCCGCACGCATGCCGCAGGGGGAGCCAGCGAGAGCAAAAGGTGGTGTCAAATGCCCTTGCCTGGCAGCCAGAGCTGCTCTGGAGGAAAGCGAGCCTCCCCACAGCGACCCGAAGTGAAAACACATTCGCCGACCATTGGTACCCCAGCTGGTACCTCCGGACAAGCTCCGGCAAGTCAGAAGCGGAGGCGAGACCCAGACAGGAGGGATCGACCACGCCCTGCACCAAGGGCCAGGGGAGGGACACACGGTTTGGTCTACAGCCTGATGGAGTTAGCAGGGAGGTCGGGGCAGAGCCTCCCAGCGCCCAAAAGGCTGGGAGCAAGTCAAGAGGGCCGCACCATGGATGGCAGAATCACGCAGGACGCAGCGTCCTGTGTAGACTGCGAGGGCAAAGCGCCTGCGCCTGGCAGAGGCGGAACTCCCAGTCGAGTCAGCGGCTGGCAGGCACCACGGCCTGGGGAAGGAACTTCGGCAATGCGTTGCCCGGACCTCCCGTAAAGCCGGCGAAAAGCGGAAGGCACCTTCCTGCTCCTCAACCTCCCAGTGTCCATGGACTCGTCGCCTGAGCCGAGTCGAGGAAAGAAGGACCCGAACCCGACCCAGTGGGCTAGCCTAGCACTAGGCACAGAGGAGAGGGAAGAACAGACAGAAGCCGCAGCGTCAGCACCTGCCATCACGCAGACGAACCCCGGTCCGAGGAGGCTGGAGGCAGACCAGGCAGAACTGGTGCCTCCGGCTCTCTCATGGGGGCGGGGCGGCGCGAGGACGGAACCCCAGGAATCCTCAGCGGACCCTGCGCCAGCTCCGAGGAGGGGACTGGGGCGAAGCCTCCCCTCCTCGGGGGCAGCCGAGGCGTCTGGACCCGAAGCCAGAGGCAGCGGATCGACAGACCCCTCAGGCCGAGGGATCGAGCCAGGAGTCGGCCGATCCCACCTCCCCAGACTCTCTCAAGCCCCTGCTCCGAGTGGCGAACTCTGGCGGAGACCTCCCAACCCGACTTCGTGAACAAGGGACTTCACGAGTCCATGTGCTGCTGAAATAACTGAGTAATCAGAGACATATCAAATCCGCTACTAGGAGCAGGTGAAGCTGACTGATCTGTGACTTTCTGCCTTTACTTCTAGGCTTTTGCTTTTCGGCCAGGGGGACCTGGGTCAATTTCCCTCCGCCCCCGCATCTCCCTATAGAATAGGAAGTCGGCCACCCGTCCTCTCTTCTGGGCCGGGGAGAAACCCATACAGATCTCACAAGTTTCCGATATATGGTCCGGTTTTCTCAAGGCACCACGATACACTTATCATGGCGGTCGGCCGGGGGATACTTGCCCGCAGACCGAACATGAAAGAAAACGCCTTGAAAGCACGCAAGCATGTAGCTAACAGCGGACCAGCAGCATAAACACATGTAGAAAAACATTGAAAATACGTGAATGCTAACGACCCATCGGAAGAAATAGTTGGTTCAATACGCAATATTAAAACCCGTGGAGCGTAAACTTCCACGCCATGGAAGAGCAACATGTGCGAACCACGGGGAAAGTTAGCGTAAAATAGTAATACAAAGTCACAATTATGAAACAACCCGACCCGCCAAAGCTTTACTGTTCCTTATCAAGGACAAAATAAAGACCATACATACAGGTGGTGGCGTCTCAGACATTATTCTCTTTAGTTCAGAAGAGTACAGCTGCTGCTTTCGACACATACACGTCTTTACAAGGCAGTGACAGCAGAAGGAATGATGATACGGGCCTAGGTGCTTACCCGGTTGGTGCGCATGCGCGTGGAGTAACTCCCGCGAGATGGGGGCCATATAATAAATAAAAGTTTTATTTATTGTACAATATTTTATTCAAAACATTGATACAACTGTCACAGGACATTTTTCAGCTTGGAAAATGCATAATATGTACCTCAAGGACGATCTCTATGAAGAAGAATGCAGATTACTGAAGATTGAGCAATTTCAACTGTATACATGCACATACCATATTTACAAAATGACATGCACCAAAAGTATCACAATTATTTGAAATTGAAAGTCATTTGTAAGTTGCAGAATTTCTGCACTCAATCAAGCAATAGTTTTTGAGGTATAAGATACATGGCTGCTATATGTCTGAATCTGAATACTCAATTTTTATATATTTTACATGACATAATATGTAGTTTTAGACTAACTGAATTTGGATTAAAAGACTGGTGGAAGATCATCATTATCTGGAAACCAGTCTTTAGGCTACTATGACTAACCACCACACTGAGTAATTTGAATGGTTATAAATTTTGATATTACTTGTGTCCAAATCCATCCATATTTCATTGATTTATGGAAATGGAATATTGAGCCAGTAATATGTATAATAAGCTGAGCTGTGACTTATATGTTAACAGATTCAAGAGGCTATCAACCTAAATGCATATTTACTCATTACTACATCTTTCAGGCAATTGAAGATGTAGGGCGTAAAAAATATGGTCATTGCTGCCATCCTGAAAAGACTGAGTGACTGAGTTTAGTTTCGCCGCTTTTAGCAATATTCCAGCAATATCCGCGGTGGGGGACACCAGAAATGGAAACCCAACACATTGTGCCCATGTGGGGGAATCGAACCGCAGGTCTTGGCAGCGAGCCACCCTGAAAAAGAACAGCGTTAAATTATAAATACAATTTTAAAGTAAGCATTCACCTGATCTGTAACATCCAGTGCCAACCATGGCACCTTGCCAGTATCACAGATAGCATGGTAGCTATCAGTCCGAACTCCCGACATATCTGCTTCCACCAAGAACTTCCTGAAACACACCATAAAATATATTTCTATACCAGTAATAAACTTGATATTGTAAAGCCTTACTATTTCTGTCTCATTGATATTTAGAGACATGTATCTTAATCTTGATAACACCTGACCCAAACAGCCCATTTTATAATGAACCCTCCCACAAGTGTGTAGCAGGCTCTGGGTAGAAGCCCTGTGTCTTCCCAAACTAGTCTTTCTCTTAGTGATTGTAAACAAAGTTCAAAACTAATAATCTCTGGAAAGCCAATAATGGTGCTGTGTATCATCATCAAAGAAGCATTGTGTTATTCATATGATGGCATGATTGTGTGACCTGTATTCTGGAGGCAAAGTCCTGATATTGAGCACAATGAGAGATCCTCATGATTTCATGACATCCAGTGCATGGAAGTTACTAATCCTTAAAGCTTGCTGCTGTAGCTTGGGATGGTAAGAAGATCGTCATTTACAAGCTCTGATCCTGGAGAGGTTTGTAGTCCTCTGAAGCCAAAGCCTAAAACCAGAACCCAGACTGGTGATCCCTACTGTTTAAATTTATCAGCTAGTTTGTACAATCAGATAAAAGCCTGAAGTTCAGAAACCATGGAGACATTGATGCCAGTCTTGGGAGATATTTGAGTACTGATGGCAGCCAAGTAGGTGAGAACGGTGGATCCCTTCAGCTTCATTGTTATCAATCCTCAGGTGCTGAAGTTTTTTGTGGGAGATGAAAAACTCAAGATCAAACTACAGCTTTTGAACACATTTGGTGTTTTATAATGCGCTTAAATCTTCAGTAGAGCGTGTCTGTTTAAGATGGGATGCTTGGACGTTAGTGTGGCTAAACAAGAAAGTCTTTTCTTTAGGGTAATGATTCTGTATAGAGTGGTGAACCATCAAAAAGGGGGCACTAAAAACCTGATGAAGATTGTTGGTGGCCCTGACCTTTTGGGATTATCCAAAGGGAGAAGACTGACTGAGTGTGGTTTTACGGCTGCTTTTAGCAATATTCCAGCAACATCACGGCGGGGGACACCAGAAATGGGCTTCACACATTGTGCCCATGTGGGGATTCGAACCGGGTCTTAGGCGTGGCGCCAAGGGAGAAGAGCTGTTGATAGGCATATGCTCACAGATCATGAGGTGGCATGAGCACTAAAGTTCCATGCTTCTGACTTTTGTCAGCCATTCCAACAGATGAGGCAAAAACTATTCTTGGTCAGCAGTTGGACAGGAGCAGTGGCTGTGTGTGGCCATGGATACAATTGTCTTTGTATACTTTGAAGATGATATCTGTGACAGTTTTCATTATTCAGGTAAATAGCCTTAGGGTCATGAAATGCTAAAGAGCAGGATCAGCCACTGGTATTGCAAAGCGTTGAAAAGAGAGAAAGTGCCTGTATTTACAATGAATGAGGACATAGAGACACTTGTTGGTCTCAAGGTTCAAGTCTACCATGATGTTACCTTGGATGATTATTCAAGTGGTTAAAACATTTTCTCATCATGCTGAAGACCTGGGTTTGATTCAAACATAGGTACAATGGGTGAAGCCCAATTTTGGTGTCCCCACCATGATATTGTTGGAATATTGCTGAAAGTTGTATAAAGTCAGATCCATGTTCTCATCTGATAATGGTGATTGTCTGATGCTGCTCAATCACTGTAACAGAGTAGATTCTTGTTCCTATGACCTTCATGTTAACTTAGAGGTCAATGTTTGCTCCTCTGCTTTTAGGAAGGACCCCTCTTTTATCTCATTTGTTAAAGGTTGATCTCATTATGTGTTAAGGAGGAAGCTGAACGTTTCCAAATGAGTGTGATAACCCCTAACTCCTTAACCTGCTCCAGAATGCTGAGTCACAAAAGAAACCAGTCGGGAGCATGGTTGAATGATGATGTCTGAGTGATATAAGGAATTAATCAGATTCCTCCTCTACTATCAGCACTGGCCAAAACAAAACTGGATCTAGATGTTGCATCCATGATGGTCTCACTGCTAGTAAAAGTCCCTTGTCGATGGCATCTTGGAAGTAGAGGATGGCAGTTGTGGCTAAGTTTGACCATCAGTTTCTAGTCTCTCTGACACTTCTTAAGATACATCTTAAACTCCTCCTAGGTGGGCTTTGGATTCTCTACGACACCATGTACAAGCATAACATAACTGAATAGCTTATTGTTTAAATACAAATATTGCATTTGATGGTAACTTGACCCTAAACTAATAGTTGAAATCTGCATTCAGGAATGGCAAGAAGAATATAGGAAACCTTTTGTAAATATCAAAGCAGAGACTACTTCTCATCTTTTCATCTAAACAAGGTAAATAAACTTTATCATTAACATGTGTCTAGTTACATACTTACTTAGGCCATTCTGTGTCTTGGACACTCAGCAGCTGTGATGTCCTTTCCAACAGTTTGTTGAAATTCCCTGTTGAAGTTTTCTTGTGTCTTGCAACAAACATTGCATGCAGATATTTGGCTGTCACTGATAGACCATATCTACACTGAGCAATGTTAAACATCTTAGCCATATCCAAGCCTGATGACAGAATGTAGGTTCTCCCATCGACAGGTGGGAACAAGCAGCACTCATCTCTTCTGATGGTCTAATTGTCTGGGACCCTTGCTCATGGTACAAGTCCTGGAATAATTTACACATTTCAAACAAGGCATTTTGATGCAAATGTATCATACTAGATACTACAGGATATAACTTGAAGATGATCTTGAATACTTATTCTAATGCCCCAAAATAATTCCAGTGAAAAGCTACATATCATTCCAAAGCTTTAGCTATCACACATTTGTTGATTTTTCATAGAAGATTCATAAAAAGAATTCACATTAAATATTTGGTTCTAAAGGTTGTGTGTATCTCATGGTTTCATGTGCTAACCACTATATTCACCAGACATCTGCTTGTGCATCCTTTCCCCAGCTTGGATTAGACGGCCCAACACTGCGGAAAGTGATGTAGCTTCAGAAAATTCTCTTTATGACATCACTCTCTGGAGGCTCAAGTTCCACCTAAAACACAGCTTGGACACCACTGACATGAGAAAGCTGTTGCAGCACTCTGTAGATACCTTTGCGGTATTCTTTAGAAGACTTCCCTGTACAACACAATTGTTCAAGTTACAAATGCATGGGGAACATCAGACACACATTGCCTATCATATCATTATGTCAATATCTGTCCTAGTTGAATGATGTACCTCATCACATTTTTCACTTTTAGTTATCTGGTCATTGAAAGACATGTATTATCTTTCTTTTCTAAAAGGACAAAATACATACTCAACCAGAGAGGCATTCATTTTGTAAGCTGACTGTTCAGCAGCAACCCATTTTTCATGTTTTGATTTGCCTAACCCAGCACATCTTTTTCAGAGAATACTTTATGCTAACTGCATTTGTTACAAGAAGACAAAGTCATCAATATCCCCCTGCAATGGCAAAATACTCTTTATGAATATGTCTACTAATTATGATTATGTCAATGTTTTGGAGTGTATACAGCAAAGTGGAAGGAGAGTATTGAAAGGTTTTAAGATCTGCTCCAGAAAGGAGCAATACCACCAAATTCAGTTGAAGCCTAACTTGTTGCCATGGAAAATGCAACAATTAGATGACATCCTCATAGTCACAGCCTAATTCATGTTTCAATGGAAACCACAAAAATACAATTCATATCTGGCTCTAAACCCCCAAACTCACATCTAGGGAGCATGCTTGATAATGTGTACCAAGTTTGATGAAGCTTGTATGTCTAATTTAGAGATCTGCTCCAGACAAGATAACATCCTCACAGCCACAGCTTAGTCATGTTTCCATGGAAACCACACAAAATAAACTTCATATCTGGGTCTTACCCTAAAAGGCACATCTTGGATCATGCTTGATATGTGTACCAAGTTTGATGAAGCTAGCATGTATAGTTTGGAAGATCTGTTCCGGACAAGATGACATCCTCATAGTCACAGCCTAAGTCATGTTTCCATGGATACAGCCCAAAATAAAATTCATATCTGGGCCTAACCCCTAAAAGGCACATCTAGGGGAAAATGGTTGATATGTGTACAAAGTTTGGTTAAGATATCACCAATAGTTTTAGGAGATATGCTTAGGACAAAGTGTGATTTTGGACGTGGACGGATGGATGAAACTCATTTCTATATCCATCAATTATGGCCTATAAAAGAAAAAAATAATCAGCTTAGTAAGGTAAACGTTATAGAAGCTAGTCCTTTGTATAACATCTTGTTGTGACAACTCACTTTGCTGTGATTGGCCACCGCCAGGTTGAAATTCTCTTTGGGAATGTATTATTACAAATAGGACAACGCGAAATCCCTTTGTAGCTTGGATATCATTGAAACATCGTAGGCAGATGTCATGTTGGCAGGGTAGTTGCAATTGGTGGTGCTTCAAAGTCAGTTTCACAGTGCCTGCAAGTATCCACTTTTCTGAAAAAAAATAAACCAGCACAACACATTCAACAGGAAGTCAAAACATATAAGAAGTCCTTTATGTCACGTACTATGTTAAACTGAACCTTCAGAAGCAAACAAGGATGTTACCTTTAATTTCAAACTCGTACTTCACAGAATGTTGAAATGATGGGTAATAAGCTTAATTGAATGCTCTTTTATATTTCTGATACCTAAGAGTTTAGCAAATGCATTAAGTACATATCAAAACCCAAGTATTTTCCTGTACTTAATGCTTCTATCATTATCATCATGATCATCATCAAAATCTTTATTACATATGAAGGCCACAGCCCCATATACATATTGATATACATATTCTATCAAAACACTCTGATCCAAAGTACCTACCCACTGATTTTCTTCTTCTACAACTGATTTGTTGACTGTTTTCAAGAACCTTCCACTTTTTTCAAGGGACTTCAGTTTTGTCAGATCAGTTTGGTCATCAAGCATCTGCATACAAGGTTGATTGAATGAACATTTCAACAGAT